AAAAAAAAAAAAAAAAAAAAAAAAGAATGAAGAAGAGAATCACTGCCTTTTGCATGTAAATACTAAATACGGACAAGTGCACAGCATTTTTTTTGTCACTAAGCGAACCAATGTTGACGATTTTGTGTCTGATAGCTAACAACAATCAGGCAGGAGGACACTCTTGCAATAGGTTTGCTCAGCAATGACAAGAAAGAAGCATATTTTTTATTTTTTTTTGTACTTGTTTGCATGAGAAAAGGACATGCACTCCTCTGTTGTAATGTTGTCGTTTTGTACATACGTCACCAACGGTTGAGAGGGGGAGAGAAAAACACTACACTGCAAGAGGAAAGGAGAGTATTACGAAAGAAAAGAGAGGTGAGGGCATTAGGATGTGAAGGTGATGAAATGGTATATTATGTTGTTGCACAAGAAAAGCTCAGTTTTTTTGGATGAAGCGAATGTTGTTGCATATTACTTTAATTGTGTGCTCAAATGGTGGGTTGTTTGCGGATCGCCCTTATCCCGAATGTGATGCGTGTGCTCAGATTGAGGCCTCTCTGCGGCCATCGCTTCTCGAGATAGAAGACCAATCTAGTGAGCATTCTGGACACGCAGGCGTTGCTTCTTCAGCGGGCAAGGAAACACATTTCACGTAAGCATCGTTCTCTGCACTCCTGTATCTGGGAAACTCACCTTGTGTGTGTGAAGTTTGACTACCGTTGGAATGGTCTCCAGCCACCACTGACCAAGCCCCATATCACACGTTCATCTTCTCGTTTAACATGCGGTCGCCTGCCATGGCTCCGCCCGCAACACGGAGAGCAGTGGAAGAAGAGAGAAATCGCGAAGCTCCCTGGCGGCAAAAGGATAGCGGGAAAATAAAAATAAAGGCGGGATGGAAAGGACGATGTTGGGTATCGAACCCAGGACCTCCTGAGTGTCACTTACGTGCTCAACCAACTGAGCTTGCCTCCTGGGGGTATGCTTCAGGCTCACCACCGGAGACTGATGGCTTGGCCCTCCTGGCTGGGGCCTCCTGGCTGGGGCCTTCTGGCTGGGGCCTCCTGGCTGGGGCCTTCTGGCTGAGCTTGGGTACTGCTCCCTGCACTGAGCAGGGATAGGTAGGCGTAGACCCATAACCTTACGATAGCTTAGGCCTGTCTCGTGAATTTAAGCTCGGATTGTGCGTCCATAAAGTAGATGGTTTACAGTCTTCGACCCGAAGCCCTGTAGTTGGCCTTCGAAACATGGAGCTGGGTTCTTTGCTGATTGGGTTGCCGTGCCCCCTGCAGGTCGGGAAGGTGAGTATACCAGTTTGAGTACACAGGCCGAGGCAGGTAGTGTGAGATGGAAAATATTGAGAGAAGAAAATAGCATAGTAAATGCAGCTGTCCCTCCATATGAGGAGAAGGCAGACTGCATTTCTATATAATTAAAAAAAAAGTATCTGAGGCAGTTCCCATCTCCAGAACAACTTTTTTGCTGCTATGGGGACTGGGTAGCACAATGTCCTCTCTCTCTCTCTCTCTCTCTCGACAGAGGGGGACACATATATGCACATGATATTCACAAAGCAATCGACAGGTTTTCATACCGCAATGCACATTCCACCCCAAGAAAGAAAAGACAAAAAGAAATGGAAACGACAGTATGAACGCATAGTTGTTTTGTGTTCATCCCTGTCTGTCTTATGAGATGCAACATCTCTATCGTCTCTCTCTCTCTCTCTCTCTCTCTCTCTCTCTCTCTCTCTCTCTCTCTCTCTCTCTCTCTCTCTCTCTCTCTCTCTCTCTCTCTCCATGTTTCTGTCTTTCTGTGTTCTCACATATGAGGTAATTGTGAGCATGGTGGGACGATTCGCCGGAAGTCACCTTTCAGTGAGAGGAACTGCATCCCACTCCTTGGAGTTGAGTGGACTGCATCTCTTCCCAGGATCCCGTCTCTTTTGACCCCGTTTGGGATGTGGGAGTAGTGGGATCGGGATAGATGCGTGCCACCATTGTGCAAAGGCCATCAATCATCATTTATAGAGGGGCAGGTCTGGTATGGAGATCAATGACGGGAGGAGCGGCCGGAGGAGGAGGGGGGCAGGGATCAAAATCGGACGTAGTGGGACCGAGGAGGTGGGCCGGAGGGAAGGAGGCGACATGGATTGGGGAAAGGAGGAGGATGAAGAGGCTGAAGGGGGGTATTGAGATGCAGCAGGAGTGGGATGAGGATGGAGTGAGATCAGGATCGGGGAAAGGAGGACAAAGAGTTGGAAGGCGGGGGGGATCGGGATGTGGTAGGACCGGGATTGGGAGAGATCAATGACGGGATGGAGGCAAGGGCCATCAATCCTCCTCTGTTTTGGGATTGTTGCAGAGCGGATTCTTTATGGGAGTGAGGAATGCGATTAGGACAGGAGCGGGATGGGGGGATTGACGACCGGAGGAGGGGGATCTTGGATGGTGATCGATGACGGGAGGGGCTGCTGAAGAAGGATGAGTGGGGATCAGAATAGGAAGTTGCGGGATCGAGGAGGTGGACTGGAGGGAGCAGGACGGGGAAGAGCGAGATCAGGATCTGGGGAAGGAGGAGGGCGAAGAAATTTGGGTAGGATCAGGATGCAGGACGAGACGGATAGTGATATACATCAAGGATGAGACAGGGGGAAGTGGGGGGTGGAGGTGGAAGGCGGGGGGGTGTGATTGTTGAAGGAGCGGGATCGGACACACATTGAGGAGGGGGTGGGAGGGAGGAGGAAGGAGGGGGAGGAGGTGGAGGAGCAAGATTAGGAAGAGGGGGAATGACTGGACAAGGGGGAAGGGGGGGGATCAGGATGTAGGAGGACCATGATTGGGATGTGCTTCTGTGCGACCACCCTCCCCTCCCCACGCCCCTCCCTCTCTCTCTCTCTTTTCACAAATATTCCTAGAGCTGGCATGCCTCTACAGATTGCGGCAGCTTGACTTACATAAAAGAGCCTCCTGCACCATTGTTGCATACTCGTGAAACACAGTCATAAGTATGGCGCAGATTCCCAGAACCGACCAGATAATACAGAGTTGATGCAAATACAACGGAAGAGTTGATACCCATGGACTGACTCTGACCTGACTCGGACTGCAATCGAACACTCTCAATCATACATCGGGGGTGTGAAAGCCCTGGCCGTAGACATAGATGAAGGCCAGGGTCTGAGATCATCCACGGACGAAKGGAKGGAGGAGAGAGACGAAGGGAGGAGGAGAGGGAAGATGACGTCAACTCAATGTTTCCAAAGATAGTATCTTGAAATGTCAGAAGTGACGAAAATCCGAAATGTCGCGAATACCATGTCTCACAATGTCTCAGATATCGATCTCACGATGTCAAGTACATCTCCAGAAGGAAGATGAAATCAGATCCCCCAAGTAGTCCTCAACCTGTAGTCCCAATGTCGCTGTTCCCAATATATCAGAATTCGTAACCATCCTTCATACTCATAGTAGTCCCGTAGGAGAACTCAGAAGTAGGCTTAGACTGAGAAGGTAGGAGGAGAGAGAGAGAGAGAGAGAGAGAGAGAGAGAGAGAGAGAGAGAGAGAGAGAGAGAGAGCAGGGGGGTGGAGGAACAGAGGGAGCAAAGGTGAAGCCTTCCTCCCTGGTAGCTGAACCGGTAGCTATGGTGCGGCAGGGCCGCTGCGCTGTTCCTTCTCGCCGCTGCGCTTGTCGTCGCCTCGCTGCTCACGCTAACGCTGCTGCGCTGCGCCAATCTCCCTAACGCTGCAAGGCTGCACTAATAATGAAGACGAACCCAACCGTACTAACTTCTAACCTCCCTACTGAGGCTGGTACCCAGCCTTTGTAGTGCTGGGCCGGCCTCCTACCTGCTGGTACCTACCGGCCTGGTCCGTTGATCTGAATCAACGGTCCAGTTTCGAACTGGACTTGGCGCCTAAACTCGGCAGCCTCTGAAACTGCGCCGCCGGTAGGTCCTATGCTGGACCGGTACCGGCCTTGTGGCCGTTGGCCTGGGCCTCTATCCCTGGCCTGCCTGAACCGGCGTACCCCTGGCGTACCTGGGCCTTATCTGAACTGTCGTCCCCTTAGGCTTACCCTGCCTATTTGGAACCGGGCCCTAACTGGGGCCTGTGTGGCTCAGAATGCCACAACCATCCAGTGTCGTCCTCCTCCCCCTTCCTTGGCCTCCATCTTCCCTCTATAGTTGTCATTGGCGTCCTCCCTCCTACCTTCTCCTCCTTGCTCCTCGTCCTTCTCCTCTGTTTGCCGCAGGCGATGTGGCAGCTCCGTCTCCCCCACTTCTCCTCCTCCTCCTCCTCCTCCTCCTCCTCCTCCGTCTTCCCCGGGCGACATTGCAGCCCCCGTTTCCCCACATTCCTTGCTGCCTGCCTGTCTGCCTTCCACGCCCTGGCCTATCCCACAACTCCGAATGTCCGGCTGCATTGTTCAGTCCTTCATGGCAATCATCAGGGGAGAAAAGGACGGTGGCCTCAAAGCTGCTGCGCTTCGCCCGCCAAAGGAAGAAAATACAAGCCGTCCCCTCAAAGGCACCGGCTGCGAACCGCTCGGCCGTTGTGTTTTCTTTTTCCCCCGGTCGCGCCCTCGCCCGCCCAGTGCCCAGTGCCCAGTGCGCCTCTCACATGGAGAGTGTTCCCAAGGCGTGGTTCGGGCTGGGACGGCCTGCCTTTCGTAATCTTCCCCATGCCACAGCTTTTCCTGGGCTTGCGGAAGGTGTCAGGCAAGGACCACGCCTGCCTTTAGCAGTACTGTAGACTACCAAAGGGAACTTGCAGCTGTATATTGGGAGACTGTGTATACAGTGGCTGTATACACAAAGGCCGCACGTTAACCGAAGCTTTTGGCTGTGCAGGCAGGGGCACCGACTCCAACGTACCAACTTGGGGGTGACTGATTCAATTTGTTCAGGAGCGATTCGTTTTAGGTTTAACGAAATAGGGTCTGCTGTAATGGTGGTTTGGTAAATGATCACTGAGGTGGATTCATTTGTGATGCCATAACATAAACCCACTAGCATAACGGGTGGCAGGACCTAAATGCAGTCGCATGGTCGGTGGATAGGGGGTGTTTATCATGAAGCACAGATCTTGTCCTACAGTAGTCTGTAGCAGACATAGTGAGTACCAAGCGCAAGCAACAGATTTCTCTCCGTCCTCCATCTTGTGTGGCTCTGACGATTGGAAGGAGTGAAATGACTGAGCAACAATAGGTGAGGGAGTGACGGTCACACAGTGGAGAAAGTGATTGAGACAACTGGAGGAATATAGAAAGTAAAACAGCGTATGGGGAGAGTTTGCAAGCGGTAGACAAGTGCGGGAAATGTCATATGGAGAGAGTTTGCAGGCTGTAGAGAAGTGCTGAAAGAGGAGGAGGAGGAGGAGGAGGAGGAGGAGGAAGAAAGAGAAGGAATACCGAAAGGAGAACAGCAGGCAAGGCAGCGGTCAAGTCGAGGGGTGCTTTTTGACGATGGTGGTATCGCCATGAGCTACTGACAAGAGCATTAGACATGTGTTTGTGTCATGTGGAGAATGAAGGAATGCTGCTTCTCAGGCCTGTTTGAACAGGACCAGTGAATGATCCAAACAGCCTGTGGTATCCCTCACCCCCCACCCCCCCCCTGGTTCCTTCGGGCCTTCCTGACATTCTTGTGCTTGACAACTCGAATTTGTCGTCGTGTTTCTTCTGTTTGACGATTTGGATGATGTGCTTTTGTCGTTTGGTGTAGTGTGAAGGTGGTTTCAGAGGAGTTTGAAGGGAAGTCGAGTGTCAAACGTCACCGTCTCATCTACGATTTGCTCGATGAAGAGTTTGCGAGTGGGTTGCATGCACTGTCTTTGATTACGAAGGCTCCCTCCGAGGTCTAAGGAGCAACAAGGTGGCATAGAGTACCCACTATAGGTTTACTCAAATGAATGGCCCTGATTCATGTTTTGTATAAAATGAATGGATCCCTGACTCCCGGGCTGTCTGATGTCAGGTGAGTTGTGAAGATCATTGCGTCACCTCACTCGCAACATTTCTTTCTTTCTTTCTTTCTTTCTTTCTTTCTTTCTTTCTTTCTTCTGGAAATGAATACGAGAGCAGCGCCTGGTGAACGCAGTTGAATTGTAGCTTCCCACGGAGCTTAGGAAAGTCAGTTAGGAATTCCCGAACAACTTTGTGTGTTGTCTCTTTTTTTTTTTTTTTTTGTCTTCTTCATTCTTATGGGGTGTGGAATTCCCTTACAACTTTGTGTGTTGTCTTCTTCATTCTTATGGAGTGTCGAATTCCCTTACAACCTTACAAGTTACAACTTTGTGTGTTGTCTTCTTCATTCTTCATTCTTGTGGCTGCATGGTCAAGTGCACGCGTCGATGAATCCATGCGAGTCTTGTGAGGACCAACAAGTCGAGTTGGTGCGATTTTGTGGTTTCTGGAAGGTGATGCTTTAGGCCTTTGATCAATGAACAAGATATCAAATATCGTCCATTGCAACTAGGGCATATAAGTTCTGGTCGGTGTAGCACTTTGCCGACTCTCAAGTTGGCAAAAAGTGCAGCGCCATGTTCAGTATAGCTCAGGCTTTGATGGGTATCACCCTCGGAGAGCAGCGAGGGAGGTGGTCTGGGTAGCTGGCTGGGAGTAGGAGGTTTCGAGGATGATTTGAGCGATTGGTAAATCTTTCAGTAAATCTCTATACCTTATAAAAACTGCAACGGGCCCACCGTAACGCCCTGTGCTGGGCCCAGCGGAAATCTGTATGGAGGCCGACGGTCCGAACGGGACTGAGGGCAAAGGGTCCCGCGGGATCGCGGACGAGAATTTTTGGGAGGCGCAAATCTGTTCGGAGGCCGACGGCCTGAGTGGGACTGAGGGCAAAGGGTGCCGCGGCGGGACCGCGCGTGATGCACCATTCCGTAATGTATGGGACGGTTCGGCGTCATGGGGGTACCCGTCGCGGTGGTGCGGCACATTCTGGCTGCGGAGGGTGGATCACGGCCGGCCGCGCGTGATGCC